GTCACCGCGCTTTAGACACCGCGGTTTAGTCAGGCGCGCTTTTGTTGTGCGCGCATTTGTGGTGGAATCGTTGATTATAAGACACAATTTGAATTAATCTCAAAGGATGGTTGTATCTGCTTCAGATGACACCACAAAAATTGGGCTAAAGTTAAACATGCTGAGAGGCTAAGTAGATGGCATGTCCATCTCATTAATTACTTTTTGGCTTAGTATGATCAGAAACAGCATATACAAATGAAACTGATACATTAATTTCCTCTTGTACTAATGAAAATTAAAAGGTATCTTTATATTAAGCAGAAGTTGGATTTTAGTGAGGCTTAGTAGCATGATGTATTCACTTTTTTAAAAAATCCTAATTATATTAGATAGTAGATGAAAGACAGGCAGGCAGGCAGGCAGGCAGGCAGGCAGACAGACAGACAGACAGACAGACAGACAGACAGACAGACAGACAGACAGACAATATATGGTGAGGACTTTTGGACATTTACACATTAAAAAAAGCCTGAATAATATATTTCTGACTAAAGGGTGCTAGCATTTATTATCAAAGTAAGCTACAGTTCAGTCGTTTGGCATCTAGAAGAAATAACTCTATAGTCATTTTGCTTATTTGGAGAAAAAAAATCAGACAAGAATCTCTCAAGATAGTCACTGACATGATATTGTTCAACAATTTGCAAACAACTATTTTTGTTTGTTTGTTTAAACTAAACACAGATTGCTACATGCAATAGATTGTTGGTTTAAATGACAGCAGTAATGGAGAAAGCTGAAAAGCCTCTCCCCACCCTAGGAACAGCCAAAGTTAGGAGTCAAGAGAGTGTTGCAATCATGAGACTGATACATCAGCAGCATCAGCCCTGTCTTATATGCATTGCAATAAAACTGGGTGAGATACTGATCACATTTTTACATCAAAGCAAATACCCCTGATTTTTTCAGTCATCAGGTTTAATGATTTCATACTCCTCATGTAGGACAGAGTTTTTCAAAGCTTGACAAATTTAAGATGTGTGAACTTTAACTCCCAGAATTCCCAAGCCAGAATGCTGGCTGAGGAATTCTGGAAGTTGAAATCCACATATCTTAAATTTGCCAGGTTTTGAAAAACACTAATGTAGGACATGTTATACACAAAATACCTTTTTTATTTTAGACAAAAGGATTTTGTGTTTTTTCTAAGAGAATGTCATATGAGAACACATAAAGGAGGGAGTGCTTAGCCTGAAGTGGCTAAAAAAGAAATGAATAGAAATACAAGGGAAACTCTTCAGGACTAATAAGTAATTCATTACACTTACGACCATCTCAGAAGCTTTTGCTGCCTTTTATCTTATCTTTGTCTTTTGACCAGGCTGGTTGTGTTCTTTCTCTTGTCCATTTAACTAAAAGAAAAAGAACAAGGAGAGACGGATGGAGGGAATGAGGCCAATTGGAAATCAGGCCACAAAATACTCTGAACTTGAAATGGAGCTTATATATTGAGTAAAAGACAAAGAAATGCAGCCTTACCAGAAGACTGAATACATGAAATAAGGAAAAACATAAAATACAATTTTCTTGCTCTTCCTATTAGACATACTGTTACCTGATTTGTTGTTATTGTTGTTGTTGCAAAGTTCTGTCCGACCCACCGTGACCCCTTGGACAATGTTCCTCCAGGTCTTCCTGTCCTCTACCATCCTCTGGAGTCTGTTTAAGCTCACGACGACTGCTTCAGTGACTCCATCCAGCCACCTCATTCTCTGTCGTCCCCTTCTTCTTTTGCTCTCAATCTTTCCCAGAATTAGGCTCTTCTCCA